GAACTCAAAACTCAGGAGTCACAATTTCTCAATACAAGGCAGGATGTGAAGGTTCTCTATGAATCTATAAACTAGGACTTCTTCATCTACTGCCCACTGAGTGAATGCCCCAGTGGATCAACAAATATCCCCAAGACATGTCTGAAATTATTAGGACTGTCCTGGGAAACTAGTGAAAACAGGAAACTAATGAGACTGCCAAAGGTAGTTGATGAGCATATAAAAATTATAAACTGAACAGAATTTCACTGTTGCACCATAATGAAAGAGGAAATAGGACCTCTCATTTAATTTTTCTACCATAGTGGAATTTGCTGGCTGCCAGAGGGCAACCTGTCTACAGTAAGACAAGATGCAAAGGCCTTCTTAGCCAAATGTGAGAAGTCAGCAGTGTTTCTCTTCAATCCTCTTTTTTTAAGTTGTAAAACAGAATGGATGAGCACTATATGAAGATCTGGTCACACTTTTCCTAGGTTTATTTTTTGCAGTAGGTTCTGACACCTCAACAAGGACCATGGGGCTTCTTCCACTAGTGATCCCATTGAAACTCATGGATAAAAGTAATAAAGAAAGCATCACACTTCCAGAATGTGAAATTTCTTCCACACTGGAATGTTATAAACTCAAGTCTCCATTTCACAATACAAATCTAAAACCCAATGTGAGATTTTGCTTGGCCATAGGTTGGAATCTGTCTATGTCTACATATTTTCACTTAGAGTGTGACATGTTGCTAAGTATTCCCTCTCCCTCTCTGCCTTCTAACACAGTGTCTGATGGAGGAGAAGTTATATCTTAAGGACTGGCAGACAGTGAGGCAGCTGCCTGATGTCTTTCTCAAGATGCTCTATTTTTAGCATGCTTGAGTCTCTTCTTCATGGGAAATGTCAGCACTGCAGCACCTTGCCCATGCCAGTTTCCTCTGTCATCTGGTTGGCAGAGCTAAGCCTTGACTCTTCCTCTTCATCACCACCAACCCTAATGATCACCACCATCCTATGTGAGTCAAGGGGAGGTCATCATTGATGACCAGGAGGAGCTGGTGGCTACAGATACAAGTGCTATAAAGAAATTATTTTAAATGAGATTGTTAAGGTTTTTCAAGAATGCTTTTACTTCATACCTTTGACAATATTGTGTCATGACAACCTGGGTTTCACTGCTGATGAGGGAACAGCCATCTACAAGCTGACAGGGGCTGTCATGCACTACAGGAACCTGAAGTTCAAGCAGAAACAATGGCAGGACCAGGAAGAAGTGCATGGCACAGAAAATCCTTAGCAACTAACCTTTTAATAAAGAAATCAGTTTTGTGAAATAATTTTTTTTTTCCCAGACAGGACAAAAGCTATTGCTTAATCATGTGAAAACTAAATAATGTTTCGTTTAGTGTACATGAATCTGTGAACCTGATTCTCTGCTCCCTGGCATCTCTTACTAAATGGTGCTCCTTCAGTTTGTTTTTTGATGGGATATTTACATGCATTTTACCATTTGGCACACAGAGAGTTTTGACAAGTTTTAAGAAGACAAAATGTCCCTAGTTTCATACATAGGCTCTAGACCTTGCTTTGTCATGTATATCCTTCTCCTAATGACAGTACAGACCATGGCCTATTGAAATATAAGAGCTTTCTTAGACCGTGACTAAGAAGTCTGGTTGTAATCTTAATGACTTTTTAAAGTGAAAGTTATTAAAATAACTCATTTATAAATGTGTTAAAATATTCAAGGAAGGTTTTCTTACTGATAACTGCATTCAGAAAAATACCAATATTGGCTTTCATGGCTTTCATAGCTTTTCTATATTCAGCGTTGATTGTGACACTAGATCAAAAGATTTGCAATCAAGAATTTTGAACATTAAGGGCATTTCTGATACATACACACACAAAGACCAAGTTCCAGTCCATGTCCAAAGATCAATTTTTAATTTATCTCTCTTGTCTTTCAGTTGCTGACAAGGGTCTGTACTCAGCAGAGCTGCTCTGATCCTATGTTATACTCATGTCAAAGCTGGGAATAAATTTGTAACCAAAGGTCAAACTATGGAGGAAGTAAAATACAGGAATACATAGTAAAATACTAGGAATACATTTCTCTTCAGAAATCTAAAATTTGTTAATATTTCTCTGTGCAGTAACTTTGTGCATTTTCCTTTTTCTTCAGGTGCACCTTTGTCAAATGCTGTGTTTGAGAAGATGTTCCTGTGGATGGTTGTTCACATCAACCAACAGCTGGACATGAAGCAGCCCAGGCAGTACTTCATTGTGTCCTGGTCATTGCTGGCTTTGAGATCTTTGATGTAAGGAACAGGGTTTTCCCAACATCTTCATGGAAGGAACAATGGTTGTTAAGAAAATTCTAAGACTCCTTTCATGAAAAGTCAATTGTGCCTGACTAATCTAGTGGCCTTCTATGATGGAGTGACTGCTTTAATGGACAAGGGAGAGCAACTGAGTTCATCAGCCTGGACTTCTATGAGGCCTCTGATATGGTCCCTCACAACATCCTAGCCAGTAAATTGGAGAGCTGAGGTACCAATGGATGGACTGTTAGATGGATAAGGAATTGGCTGCATAGCTGCATCCAAGAAGTTATAGTCCAAGACTCAATGTCCAAGTGGAAATTAGTAGTGTCCCTCAGGGGTTCATACTGGAATCAATACTACTTGGTATCTTCATTAATGACATATTGAACTCTATTTAGCAAGGGAAGAGAATGGAGTTGAAATCACTTGAGAAGAGCCAGGGGCTGCTGAGACTTTAGCAAGAAACAGGGAAACACCAGTGTATTGTCTTAAAGGAATTAGGGCAAACTCCTCTAACAGGGGATGTGGCCCAGCTGAAGCACCTCTCTACCAGTGCCATAGTGTGGGAAACAAACAGAAGGAGCTGGTTGCCACTGCCCAAGTGGGCACTATGGCCTGATTGCTACCACAATCACTTGTGTGATTGGAATGCTCTGACTGACAGCTATAAACTGCTCAGAAAGGACAGTCAAGGAAGAAGAGGTGAGAGATTGCCCTGATAAGATGCATCCCCCTGTAAGCCATTATCACTCACACTTGAGAAGTCATGGCTGTCTGATGAAGTTCCCACTGATTGAAAAAGGGGAAACAAACCCCCCCCTTTTAAAAAGGGGCATAAGGAAGAACCAGGGAATTACAGGCCACTCAGTCTCACCTCTGAGCATGGCAAGGTCATGGAACAGAGACTCCTGGAAAATATGCTATGGTACATTGTCTGGATGATCACACTCAAAGAGTTGTGGCTTGAATTTCATGTGGAGACCAGTGAAAAGTGGTGTCCCTCAGGGCTTTGTTTTGAGACCAGCATTATTTAACATATTTGTCACGGACATGGACAGTGGGATTGAGTGCACCATCAGCAAGTCTGCTGGTGACACCAAGCCATGTGTTGAGGTCAACGTATTAGAGAGAAAGTAGATTCTGGTTAAATATAAGAGTGACATTTGTTAAGACAAGGCCAGTGAGACACTGGAACAGACTGGCCCCAGATTACAGGAATGCCTCATCATTGGAAGTGTGCAAGCTCAAGCTGAATGGGGCTTTGAGCAACCTCATCTAGTCAGAGATATCCCTGCCCAGCAGCAGGCTTGCACTAGATTATTCTTTTAAGGTCCCTTCCAACCCAAACCATTCTGTGCTGCTGTTCTCTGAGTTCTGTATGTCCAAGGCAGTCTGAGAGACAGTCAGTCCATTGCCCAGAGAGACAGGGCTTCTGATGTGCCCCTGCACTCACTGTTTTACACAGGTTGTTTCTGGCCTCCTCCTGGGCAGGACAAAGGGTGTTTCCATCAGCCTCCCCCCTCCACTGCACAGGGAGCCCACAGGTGAGCTCTGGGTTTGAACTTCAAAGAAGTGTGTGCTTCTCCTTGGAACAAGCTGTTCATGCCCGGGCCACTGCTTGGTGTTGGATCTCCTTGGATCACAGGCACCATTTGTTCTGACCTTGCCCCTGTGCTCTTCCCTGAGCTTTATCCTCTGAGCTCTTTTAGCAGTCAAAATGCCAATGACCAAGAGAAGAGCATGTTTAGAACTGACACTGTTTAAAGCAGCTCAAGTGACAGTACAAGATGCTTGTGATGGGGTGCAAGTGCTGGACTGAGGATGTATCAAAGTTGCACCACAGTTATGCAACAAAAGTCTGCCTTGAGTCCAGGAGGAAATTACTGGAAATGTAGCAGTATAATCTATTGGTCCTACATCCAAGTTCTCCAAGTGCTTTGACTAATTGAGATTCTGTCCTTATGTTTCTAGACAAATTATTTATAGTCAATACATTCGCAGCATTGGTAAGATACAAAACATTTCTATCTCCTTAAATCAAATGACAATTATGCCCTTAGTTCAGTTTGCCAGACAATGCCTTGCCAAATAATGTTTGCCAAAAAATGTTTTGACCGAAGAAAGAGGAAGAATCCAGAGCATCTGCCAACCAGACTCTATAAAAGTGCCTTTCCAGTGCTCTGCCCTGTCTCCTAGAACAGTTTCAAGGTAAGTGCACTGTGTCTAGTGATTTGCTGAAATTAAGTATCCCCCATTATTGCATATTATGCAATATGTTTTTCCCTTTGAAATTGGTCTCGAACTAAGTTTTTCCATCTGCTTTCAAGGTAGTTGTATATTTTCTATCTATACTCTTTTTTTATTATATTTCATATTAGAATAACAACGTTCCTTTAATGTATTTCATATTCTCAAATATGATGGTACAACCCATAAAGCCAAAGTACAATCTGCACAGTGTCATAAGAAACAAATAACAAGAATTTTTAAAAGGTTATTCTATATTAATCAAAGATGAAACAATATTTTTCTCTTCTGGGTTTAAATCATTAAATACAAGGAAGGCAAATTTTGCCAGTTTTAGCAATTCTAGTATGTGCTACATTTGAAAGCATTGGAAAAGGTGTCCTTGCAAGCAAGATACATTAATGATCTGTGGATACTACATTTGTTTTGTCCCTCAGGGTTCTCTCCTGACGTGCCTTCAGTAAAGCGCAGACATGACGTCTGCAGATGCTGAGTTGGCCATCTTTGGGGAGGCGGCTCCTTACCTCCGAAAATCAGAAAAGGAGAGAATCGAAGCCCAGAACAAGCCTTTTGATGCCAAGACATCCGTCTTTGTGGTTCATCCTAAAGAATCCTTTGTGAAAGGGAAAATTGAGAGTAAGGATGCAGGCAAGGTCACTGTCAAGACTGAAGGGGGAGAGGTAAGTAAATGCAAGATTTACAAATAAAATGTCGTTCTCACTTTCGGTTCTTAGATGATATACATGAACATCTCTATTCTTTGGCAGACCCTGACTGTGAAGGAAGATCAAGTCTTCTCCATGAACCCTCCCAAGTACGACAAAATCGAGGACATGGCCATGATGACCCACCTCCACGAACCCGCTGTGCTGTACAACCTCAAAGAGCGTTACGCAGCCTGGATGATCTACGTAAGTGGCAGCAGCAGCTTCCTTTGGGCAGCTGGAGGAACTGCTCTGCCAGGCCCAGGGGAAGCCAATGTGCTGTGTGCCTTCCTCACAGACCTACTCGGGTCTCTTCTGCGTCACTGTCAACCCCTACAAGTGGCTGCCCGTGTACAACCCGGAGGTGGTGTTGGCCTACCGAGGCAAGAAGCGCCAGGAGGCCCCTCCACACATCTTCTCCATCTCTGACAACGCCTATCAGTTCATGCTGACTGGTGAGTTACTTAGTTTTCTTTAAAACTACTTGGCTGTGAACACTTGCAGAAGAGGAAAAAAAGTCTTTTCACTGCATAGTTTAGTTTAATGTTGTTGTGAGGGTGATGCTTTCTCATCATTGGAAATAGTGAGATTTTCCCTTGGTTGAGGATTGAGTTAGAGACCATTTAGTCAAACCTGACGTCCACAAATGCCTGGGCCCTGATGTGATGGACCTGTGAACTCTGAGGGAACTGGAGGACACCACATCTTGGCCTCTCTCTCTCATTTGAATGGTCATGGCAGTCCGGAGAGGATTGTGAGGACCAGAAAAAGCAAATCTCACAGGAGTCTTCAAAAAGGGCAAAAAGGAGGATCCAACGAGCTGCAGGGCTGTCAACCTCATCTTAATCCCTGGAAAGGTGTTAGAACTGCTCATCCTGGAGGCCATCTCTAAGAATGAGGAATACAAGAAGATGGTCAGGAGTAGTCAGCGTGGATTCTCCAAACTGAAATCATGCTTACCTGACCTGATTGCCTTCTACATTGGGACAACTGCACAGAGGGGTGAGGGTGAGCAGTGGATGTTGTCTACCTGGACTTCAGCAAGGGTTTTGACACTGTTGCCTATGATATCCTCATAGGCAAGCTCAGGAAGAGCAGGCTGGACAAGTAGATGGTGGATTGAGTACTGTCAAAATGGCAAGTCTTACAGGGCTTCAATAGTGGCTCAGAGTCTACTTGGAGGTCTGTCAACTGTGGTGTCTCCCATGGGTCAATACTGGGCCCAGCACTGTTTAATTTCTCAATGACTTGGATGAGGGGGTAGGTGCCTTCTAAACAAGTTTGCTGATGACACAAATCTGGGAGTAGTGGCTGATTCCCCTGAGGGCTGTGCACGTTACAGAGATGGGCAGAGAGAACCTGTCTGAAATTCAACACAAGTGGGTGCAGAGCCCTGCACCTGTGAAGCAACAACCCCGTGCAGCAGCACAAGCTGGGGGCTGATCTGAGGGGAAAGCAGCTCTGTGAGGGGCCTGGGGGTCCTGCTGGAAAACAAGCTATCCACGAGCCAGCAGTACACCCAGTAAGATTCATTTCTGTAGAAGTCAAACCACCAGCAGTCTCTAAATCAACTACCAGGCACGTCACTTTATGTGACTTACGAAGATACAGAAGAAAGATGCACTCTTAAAAGACAAGTCTTGCCTTACAAAACTGCTGATTATTTTAATAAAGGAGAGCTGGTCGAGGTAATCTGAATTCAATGAAATACTTCAGTACAGCTGCAAAGCAGCTATTCTTAACATATTTTTTATACTTGCATTCAGTAATAGTTATAGAATTGAGAAAATTCAAAAAGAACTGCTTAAAAATATGGAAGACATAGTAAAAATATATTTTACAGTTTTCATAGTGCAAAGATTTAATCAATGAAATCGCACAGGAATCTGTCCTAGGCCTTAAGCTGTTCAACATTTTTTTAAATGATTTGGAAATTATGACAATATTTCTGATTTGACTAAGTCCTTCAGGTCAGTAAAGATGCAGTCTAATAGTGAAGAATTTCAAGGGGACTTTATGACATCAAGTTCTTATTCAGTGATGGTGCAACAAATATTTGTGAACAAGAATGTAAAACAATTGGCACTGGGAAAAAAACCCCTCATTGACGAGAACTGCTGCTTCTGTTATAAATATCCTTAAATACTGCTTCAAACATTTGGTCTCAATGATAATAAATGTATGAGATAAAAAGTTGGAAATTAAGATCACTGAGCAAGAAGTAGAGACCAAAACAGAAAGCATCATTACATCATGGTTGTTACAAAGGAGTATCTGCACCTTGCGTGCTGTGTGCATTTCCAGCCTTCCTTCTTCACAAAAGAACATTGTCAAATGGAAGAGGTCAAGATGAAGATGAAAAGGCTTCCCTAAGGTAGAATAGGATGCCTGCACTGGTAACTGTAGAAAAATGATTTTTCCTACTTTATAAAGATATGCATGGCATAGAGGTGAATAGACAAGACAAAGTACAGGAAAAAACAAGCTCACCACAAGGAACATTTTTTTCCGTCATCATTAAATAGTTTAAAAATGCAGCAGATCAAAAGATAAAAGTTGAAGCAACACAAAAAGAGGTGAGCATGGGTTAAAAAAGCAACCAGACAAAATTCTGGAAAGCAAACTCAGCCCAAGCTACTGTACACACAAATATCAGATTGAGGTTTGGAAGTATCAAAATTTCAATATTCTAGAGCATGAGAGACTGTTCTGGTAAAGATTTATGAAGTTTCCATGATTTTCTTTACGCAACAATCAACTGGCTACTGACATAAAAAACATTTAGGGGGCTTACGGACTGATCGGGAGTACTTGTTGCTTGTGTTGTAAAGCTTATGAGAAACACATGACCCAGTACACCTCAGCTGACTGATAGATCATTTAATCAGCAATT